CAACGTTGTCACCGGGGATGGCCTTCTCGAGCTGCACGTGATGCATTTCGACGGACTTGACATCGGTAGTGACACCGGAGGGGGCGAAGCAGACGCTCATGTTGGGCTTGAGGGTACCAGTCTCAACACGACCAACGGGCACAGTTCCGATACCGCCAATCTTGTACACGTCCTGGAGGGGAAGACGGAGGGGCTTCTCATCGGGTCTCTTGGGGACCTCCATCTTGTCGAGGGCCTCCACAAGGGTCAAACCCTTATACCAAGGCATATTGGGGGACTTCTCAATCATGTTGTCACCCATGAAACCAGAGATAGCCACGAAGTGGATCTTGTCAACCTTGTAGCCAACGCGCTTGAGGTAGCCAGACACTTCCTTCTGGATTTCATCGAAGCGGTCCTGCTTGTAGCCGCAAGCGTCCATCTTGTTGATGCCGACGATCATCTGGCTGACACCAAGGGTGTAGGCGAGAAGAGCGTGCTCGCGAGTCTGACCTTCCTTGGAGAAGGCACCCTCGAAACCACCGATATCGGCGGGGACGACGAGAAGAGCAACATCGGCTTGGGACGTACCGGTAATCATGTTCTTAATGAAATCACGGTGGCCCGGGGCGTCAATGACGGTGTACTCGAATCTGGGGGTTTCGAACTTCCAGAGGGCAATATCGATGGTAATACCACGCTCGCGCTCAGCCTTCAACTTGTCCAGGATCCAAGCGTACTTGAAAGAACCCTTACCCATTTCGGTAGACTCCTTCTCGAACTTCTCAATGGTTCTTTGGTCAATACCACCAAGCTTGTAAATAAGATGGCCAGTGGTGGTGGACTTGCCAGAGTCAACGTGGCCAATGACGACGAGGTTGATATGCTGCTTCTCCTTACCCATGTTGGCTCGCCACAAAGTTGTTCCACAAACTTGTTGTCACAAATTTTTCCAGCGCGCGGGCTAAGACAAAACGGGCCGACAATAGCGCGCAGAACGGAAGCACACGCGTGTGCGACGGAAATTGCGCGCCTTAATTGGTCCTTTGTACGGCAAGGTAGGACTGGTTTAGCTGCGTGCGAGACGTATACGCGGACGGACTTGGGTGTCTCCGGTCACATGGTATCTGTGACAAGCAACTGTCAGGCGGAAAGCTACGGGGGTAACTGTCGGGGATGAGGAGTGGCGGGTGAGCTTGCGCGCGCATTCGAAAAACCGTGGGGCGCCCTGTGGGCGTGAAGGGGGGGATTGGTGGTTTTTTTATCGCCGAGTTGGGGGGATGTCTTTTGACGCCAATGGTGTGATATGCACGGATATTAACAAGGCGTCGTTTCAGCTGTTGAGCGAGGAAGATGTGAAGAAAACAGCGGTGTGTCGCATATTTTCTACAGTAATCTATGACGGTGAGCAAGCGAAGTTGGGTGGTATCCACGACCCGCGACTGGGTCCGATGGATTCGGAGCCTCGTCGTGGGGACCCATCATGTGTGACTTGTGGCGGTCGGGACGACTGCCCGGGTCACTTGGGTTACATTCAGTTGTACCAGCCGTTGTATCATCCGTTGTTTATGCCGACATTGGTTCGGTTGTTGAAGGGTACATGTTTGCTATGTCGACGGTTGAAGATTGATCCGGGTCTGGCCACCATGTACCTGAAGAAGTTCCAAATGGTCCAGATGGGTGCGTTACAGATGTTGGAGGAGTTTGAGCAGTTGTCCAGTATGTCATCTGGAGGCCGCTACGAGCAGAGTTCTTTAGCCGAACGACGGGTAGAAATGCGTCGCTTGCTGGCGGATATGAAGGTCTTGGAGGAAAAACAACGGAAGGAAGGCAAGCTACTGAACCTGGAGGAGGATATAAGTGTTAGTTCATCCAGTATCGAGAACTGGAGGCGTATAACGCGGGATTTATACGACCGTTGTGCTCAGTCACATTGTACACATTGTGGACGTAAATTCAGTTCAGTTATTCACAAAAAGGACCTCGATTCGAACGTCGAGATTCAATGGAACTTTGATGCCGACTGTCCAGTGGACCGTAATATCCTGCTTAAGATGCTGGATGCACAGGAAGAGATTGAGCGAGTAGGTGACGACTCTATCGGGACAGTGCGCGATGCCAGAAACGTGGCCAACATAGATGACGAAGAGATTGCAAAGGACCACCAAACTCTCGGACGACGAGGCCGGTCGATGGGTGCAGTCAATTTGCAAGCCTACCAGATATACCCAATTATGCGAGACCTGTATAATTCCCCGGACCGTCCGTTGTTGCACTTTCTGATTCCGGCAACGGCTAAGCATGGAGCGCGATTTTTCTTCATGAATGTCATTCCGGTGAGCAGCAACAAATTCCGGCCCAAGGCGAAGAGTCTAGGCTTCGGGTCTTCAGCGGACGCGGGCGCCAAGGCAGATGAAGAAGGCGGCATTTTACACCCTCGCTCGGCAGCACTTCTGGAGATTTTACAAGAGAACGCTAAGATAGGATTTGCCTTAGGGGCATTGCGTTACTTCGACCCAGAGGCTCACTTTGCGAAGGATGAGGGCTCGCTTGACGCTGCCTTTTCAATGAAGGATAAGGACGGTGTTAAAAAGGCTATCGAAGACCATAAGGGCAACTACTCGTTGCTGCATCAGTACTGTCGCCAAACACAGGAGAAGATAAACGCCTATATCGACAGCACCAAGACCAACACTAGGAATCCACCACCGGCTATCCGGCAATGGATGGAGAAAAAGAGCGGCGCGATTCGACAGAAAATGATGGGCAAACGGGTTAACTTTGCCGCGCGTACAACCATTGCACCAGACGCACAGATTAATACTAATGAGATCGGTATTCCCATCCCCTTCGCGATGAAGTTAAGCATTGCGGAACATGCTGTACCACACAATGTGGATTTGCTGTGCAAGTTGATAATGAATGGGAGCAAAACATACCCAGGTTGTAACATGATAATTGAGCCATCCGGACGCAGGTTGGACCTTACGCGGCGCGAGCTGACAGAGAGTCAGAAGCGGATGCAGTGTAAGTTGTTGCGGAACCATGTGCAGCACCAGATGCACAGTGCACAAAACAGTCACGATCTGACTAAGCCATACACCGTGTTACGACATCTAAGGGATGGCGACGTAGTGATTATGAACCGACAACCTTCGCTACATAGGGCTTCGATGATGGCGCACTTTGTGCGTGTGCTTACTGGTCAAAAGACATTCCGCCTTCATTACGCTAATTGTAACTCGTATAACGCCGACTTCGATGGTGACGAAATGAACCTGCACTGCGCACAAGACCCAACTGCCCGCGCAGAGGCGGCCCTTATCTGTAATGCCGACTGCAACTACACTGTCGCCAAGTCGGGCGAACCACTGCGCGGTCTGATTCAGGATCACGTGTTGGGCGGCAACTTCCTGACAATCCGAGGCACCTTTCTCACACGACCGCAATATTTTGCTTTAGTCTACGTGGGAGTTGCTTCCTTCACGGACAAGGGTGAGAAACTCGATCTGGACAACGGCAAAGTTGTCAGTTCTGAATTCTCTGCAGGTGACCCCTACGCGAGAGCATTGGGCGCCCGCAACCTCCGCATAGTCGTCGAGGAACCCACCATCTGGAAACCGGAGCCGCTCTGGACGGGTAAGCAGGTCATTAACTCTATTCTCAAGACCCTCATTGACTCGGTCGCCGTGCTCGAATATGGCCGAAAGGCCGACGGTACCGCGAATCAGGCCTTTCTGAAACGTTACCGCGGCATCAACCTCGTGAGCAAGGCTAAAACACCGGGTGACGCTTGGATGGGCCGGCTCGGGACCGATAAAGAAGAACAGATCGTCATCATCCGCAACAGCGAGCTGGTGCAAGGCGTCTTCGACAAGGCCCAGATTGGCGCCGCAAGTTACGGTCTCGTGCACCTTTGCTACGAGCTCTTCGGACCCCGTGTGGCAGGTATGTTGCTGTCCGTGTTCGCACGTGTGTTCAGCTCCTATCTACAAATTCGCGGCTTCTCCTGCTCCTCGGGCGACTTCCAAATGACGCTGGAAGGCGAGAAGGCGCGACAGCGCATGATTGCACGCTGTACCGCCGCCGGTACGCTTCTCCAGGAACAGTTCATCGACTCCGTGTACCAACATATGCACTGGCGAGAGAACATTGAAAACGCCTCTGGCGTCCAGTCCAAGTATGTACACGTTGGCAAGGCACTCAGTTCCGCCCTTGCCGCCAGCAAACATCAGGCTGGCACTCTGGCCACGTCCTATGTGAAGGAACGATACCAACAGTTCGTCAAGACCGAGCAAATAAACCAGTTTGTCACGGTAGACGGCCTGCTCAACAAAGACCCCCAAAACGTTAGGCTCAAAAACACCACCGTACCGCCCCACTGGCCCGCAGATCCCTCCAAGTCGGCCGAATCGCAGCAGAACTCGCCCTGGCTCACCGAGGCGCAAAGGTCAGAGTTCCGCGACCAGGGCACTGCCGGCTTTGGTGACCAACTGGTGGCTGAAGAGGACCTAATTCAGAGCAAGGCGGGATCAAGCAAAACGGGGTTAAGGAAGGCGACGGAGGAGCATTCCGCGGTAATGAAGGCGGTGGACTGCGACACGTCCAGTTCGTGGAACGTATCGCGTTCCCTGCACCTGATTCCGAAGCAGCCGGACTGGCGACTGGGCGACGTGAAGAAGATGTATCAGTGGATGCTGGGTCAGCTGTCGAAGTTGAAGGCAATGGGTGCTAGTGACAAGGACACACGGCAGTTCCTTTTGCAGGGTTTTACGACCGTGCCGGAACTGGCGATTTACTTCCCGGAGTTGGCCAAGGTTGTGGGCACGCGGAAGATGTGGGCAGGTGAGCGATTGGAGGATCGGCTAGTGGTCGCGGCGGCAGCTCGTCTGACAGGCACGGTGCCGCCGCCGGCTCCGTTGGGACGACTG